CTATGTTTATAGCAGCACAATTTGTGATAACCAAATCTTGGAAACAACCAAGATGCCCATCACCTTAGGAATGGATGAAAAAGATGTGGTATTTTTATAGAATGGAGTATTACTCAGCTATAAAAAATGATAAACTCGAAGCTTTTATATTGAAGTGGAAGCCACTTGAAGATATACTCATAAGTGTAATAAACCATAAATACATGTGTAAATTATAAAAATGATGTACAAGTCATAAATCCATGCTGTTATGTTGAGCTGTAGGGGACTCAGGTCAACAATTTCTGACATTGCCAGTCAAGAGGAAGACCCAATACTATTATGGACTACTGGACCCTCTTAGAATATTTTGCTGAGTTAACACACCTATAATATTCAAATGATGGAACTAAACAAAAAAGGGGATACAGACGAATGTCCATTTTGTATCTGTGTATTCAAAATGGTTAGGATAGATATATAGTTTCATTCTCTTAATGAATACAGGGATTTGTTCTAATAATGCTTGTAAATAGAATATCATGTCTATATCTTGTACAGCAAATAACCACTAGGAAGACAGTATGCAATGTGTTAATTATTGAAACTGTCCTACCAATTTGATTTGAAACTGTCTCATTTGAAACTGCTATTTCTTTCTCAATAAAATTATGGAAAAAAACAATAACAAATGCTGATGGAGCTGTAGGGGAAAAAGAACCCTCTCCACTGTTAGTGAGAGAGTAGACTAGTACAAACACTGTGGAAATTAATGGGGAAAATTCTTCAAAAAACTAGGATTAGAGGTTCTGTTTGACCCAGCTATTCCCTTTTAGGATATTTTCCCAAAAGAATAAAAGGCATTACATCATACTGATATATGTGCACCCATGTTTATAGCAAGATAATTTACAATAGTTAAATCTTGGAAACAACCCAAATGCCCATCAAGTGAGGAATGGATAAAAACATGTTATTTTTCTATAACAGTGTATCGTTCAGCTATAAAGAAGTATAAGTTCAAGGCTTTTAGAGGTAAATGAGATGATACTCATAAGTGCAATTAATCAGACTTGCATGTGTAAGCATTATATTGTCTCCTTGTATAAGAAACTGAAATTGAAAGTAAGATCCAAAATGCAAAATAGATATTGTGTAAGGGAAAGAAACTGCTTAGAAAGAAAGAACAACTAGTATGGCAGAAAGGAGAAAAGAAGGAAGGGAAATATTTGTATAGACCCCACAAGGTGGCTAAGATAATTGTATCAATAATTCCTATTAGTTTATTGAAAGGAACAGTTAGTATTTCTATTGTTTGATCAATTTTACATGTTTATATTTGATAATCTGAGCAACTACTT